AGGCGTTGTCCAGGTTTCCTCAGTGGCGTCCTCTGGGGGGTTAGAAATGCTCATTACGATGCACGGGCTTGGCATGTTGTGCTGGATTACCGATCTGTTGTTCCCTGGGCTTTTGGTGCTTGCCAGCTTGGCGAGCATATCTGCCCGTGTATTTTCAGCTCGCCTTATATGCTCTACTTCAACAGCTTCAAAAATTCCAATCAACTCTTTTACCTTCTCTAAGTACCTGCACATTAATGGTCCTTTGGTTTGGTATTCGCCTGAGATCTGGAAAGCTACCAGTTTGGAGTCAGTCCTGCTATCATGGCCTCATATTCCGCCTAATTATGGCCTCATATTCTGCCTGTATTTCTTTTGCTTGGAGCAGTCCTGCTATCATGGCCTCATATTCCGCCTGATTATTTGTGGCGTTGAAATCAAAAGTCAGAGAATGTTCGAGTGTTACTCCATATGGGTTTTCAACTATCATTCCCGCGCTCGATCCTTTGGCGTTCGAAGAGCCATCAACGTACAACTTCCAGTTACCAGCTGAAGGCGTTTCAGTTGCATGCTTCTCAGGATGGGGGTTTGGAGTCATCTCGGCGATGAAGTTTGTCAAGGCTTGGGCCTTAATGGCCGTTCTTGGTTCGTAGGCGATCTGGTATTCTGATAGTTCTATCGCCCAAGACATCATTCTTCCAGCAAGGTCTGGCTTATGTAACACTTGTCGAATTGGCTGATTTGTTCTGACAGTGATTGGATGGCACTGGAAGTACGGCCTTAAACACCTTGCAGCGAAGATGAGTGTTAATGCTACATTCTCAACTTGCTGGTACCGGAGTTCCTCTCCTTGTAAGACTTTGCTGATAAAATAGACAGGCTTTTGTCCTTCCTTTGACTCCTTGACTAGGGCCGCGCTGATTGCCTCAGATCCGACGGCGAGGTATAAGTACAACATTTCTCCGTGGTCGGGTTTGGAAAGTACTGGTGGGCATGAGAGAGCCCTTTTGAACTCCTGAAAGGAGCTCTCGCATTCTTCTGACCATCGAAAGGTGGTCCCCTTTTTTAACAACCCGAATAGGGGGAGGGACTTGTGTGCTGAGTTTGCCAAAAAAATGGGCGAGGGCTACCAATCTTCCCGTTAGCTGTTGAACTTCCTTGATTGTTTGCGGGCTTCGCATTTCGATGACCGCCTTGCACTTGTCTGGGTTGACCTCTATGCCTCGCTCCGTGAGCATGAAGCCAAGGAATTTTCCCGCGGGAACACCGAAAGCGCACTTGCTGGGGTTGAGGCGCATGTTAAATTTTTGCAGTCTTTGGAAAACGCCTTGGAGATCTGCTAAATTTTGGTCTGCCATTTTTGATTTGGCTATCATGTCATCAATGTAAACTTCTATACAATTGTCGATCAAGTCTCTGAATACCTCATTCATCATCATCGTGTAACAATAATTGGCGTTCTGAGTAATGAACTCTGTTTTGTCTTGATCTTCCTCTAACAATGGAATCTGATTATAGCCTGAATACGCGTCCATGAAGGACAACATCTGGAAACCAGAGGCGTTGTCAACCAGCTGGTCGATGCTTGGGAAAGGATAGGCGTCCTTGGGGCAGACCTTGTTAAGATCTGTGTAGTCAACGCACATTCTCCACGCGCCGTTTGATTTCTTTACCAACACTGGATTGGACAACCAAGTTGTGTACTTGATTTCCCTGATGAACCCGGCGTCGTGGAGTCTTTTGATTTCTTCATCGATGACCTTCTGGCGATCAAAGCCAAACTTCCTCTCTTTTTGCGCAACTGGTTTTGCTTTAGGGTCCATCGACAAACGGTGGCAGCATATGTTTGGGTCGATACCTGGCATATCAGACGGTTTCCAAGCGAACAAATCTTTATTTGCTTTTAACAACTGTATCAGCTTTCTTTTTACTTCGGGTTCAATTGTTGCCCTGATTGTTGTCGTCTGGTGATCCGCCCCGCCCAACACCACGTGTTCTAATGCTCTGTCAGGCGTAGGTCTGGCGTGCTCAACTCTAGGATCGTCCCTGGCGTCAAAATCTACCAAGAAGCACTGGTTGTGCTCGTTCCTCCTCCTGTCGGGATTTCCTTCAGCTGGGGATGTCTCTTTCTGCTGGGGTGTCGGTTCTTTTTTGAAGGTAATCTTTGTCATTGGGCGCAGAGAGATGTTGTAACAACTTCGGGCAACAATTTGATCTCCTCGTATAGTAGCTATGTTATTATCTCTGGCTATGAACTTCATTGCCAGGTGGGGGTGGGAGATGCTCGCCTCAAAGGCTGCAAACATCTTCCTGCCTAGGATGGCGTTGTAAGCGGATGGTGTATCCAGGACTAGGAATTGGATGTCTGCAGATCGTGATGTTGGCGGCGTTCCAAGCGAGAGACGCAAGTTTATCACCCCCAAAGGCTTGGTGGTGGTAGCATTGAAACCTGAAAGTTCACCTGCGACAGGAGTTAAATCGTTAATTGTGAACCCTAATGCTTTGAGACATGGCAAGAATAAAATATCGGCTGAGCTGCCGTGGTCAACAAATACACGGTTGACGCCGTAATTGGCGATTATCGCTTGGATGACAGGTGGTTCGTCGTGCCCGGGGAGAACGTCCCCCAACTCGCTACTGTCCCAAACTATGTTTGGCTTGGCTGAGCCATGGTGCCCTTTATCTTTGCTGATCACCTTTCCTGCAATCGCCAGGCATTGTTTTAGATGCTTCTTCCTAGCGTTAGACGTTTCGCCCCCGCCGCTTAAACCTCCAGAGATCATATTAATTACTTCGTGCTTGATTGTTGCGGAGTCTTCTTCTTCAACACGCCTCCCTCCTTGGCTCGGGCTTGTCTGTGTTCTGGTTCTTTGAGGCGAGTCTTCTCTTTGGCCTCGTTCTTGGCGGGACCGAGCGTTGACCTGATTGGTTTTTCTTCTTTCTGGCGACTTGCTTCGGTCGCGGTATCGCCTGCCTGATCTGGAGGGGCGAGCATTATCTCCTCCGCTTTTTTGTGTACCGTCTTTGATGAGTTCGTCAATCTCATCCTTGAGGCGCCTGCAATCCTCTGTGTTGTGGCCACTACTACGATGAAACTTGCAGTATGGTGCAACCTCTTTGCTTGGTTGCTGGGGCCTTTGGTTGCTTTTGGGATCCTCTTTGTAATATGTTTGTAAGACAGTGTGTGACCGTCGTTCGGATGTGTCCCGCCCAGAATGGCGGGCGGAACGGCTGGATGCTTGGTATCCTTTCCTACTTTCATCATCATGACTCCTTCCCTTGGCGATCGCCTTTTCTTGACAGTGGGAGTCATTAGCTCGACTCCTTTTGTATTCTTCAATTCTCATAAATTCCTGCGTCTTTTTCTTGACTTCCTCTAAGTCAGTAATTTCATGTCGTGCGAGCTCGTAAGCGAACTCTCCTTGTCGCAAGCCTGACAAGAGTATATGTACCTGTACTTTGGGGTCTAGGCCTTGCACTTGCAAGGCCTCTTTATCAAAACGATCTAGGAAGGACCGGAGGGTCTCGCCAGAGAGCTGTCGGACTTTTTCAAGGGTGTGCACGGATTTGGGTACGGGGCGACTGGTTGCAAAATGGGATTGAAACTTGCTTGCCAAATCGTCCCATGACGTAATGCTGCCTGTAGGCAGGGTGGTGTACCAGGTAAGGGCTCTCCCTCCCAACAATGTTGGGAAAGTTCGGCACATGAGTAAATCCGTTTCGCCGTGGAGTGTCATTGCTGCTTCGAATTTCTGGATCCACTCAAATGGATCGGTATCGCAAACGTATGTGGTGATGTTAGAGGGACCTTTGAACCCCAGGGGTATGGGAGTTAGCCTCAAGCTATCGGTCAAAGGCTTGTTACGCCCTGACGTGTGGGCAGGCGTTACTCTGATATGTTCTCGTTGTGGACGAGGCATTTGTGGGGCTTCAACAGAGTAGGAGAGGGCTGGGGCTTGGTGGAAAGCTTGTTGAGCATCATATGGTTGTTGGTTAGGATTCGGGCAAGATGCCTGAGGTTGTGGAACGGCTGCGTTATGGGGTTGCATGGCGTAGCCATGGAAAGGGAAACCAGCTTGGTGAGGTAGTTGAAAAGGAAAAGCCACGTTAGGCGTGTATGGCCTAGGAAGGTATGGGGCGACCATGGGTATCTGGTGGTCATGGTATACCGGCAGTGGTTGACTTTGGGCTGGTAACGGAGGACAGGTGAGATAGGCATGTCGTGGGACAACTGCTGGAAATGGCATTCCAAAATGGACTCCGGGGGGAGGTGGCTGGTTTAGGACTATATTTTCTCCCTGCGTCTCGCACATGGGTGCTTGATGATGTTGTCGGGCGATCCTAGGATCATTCGTTGGCAGCTGTGGGCCTATGGTCTGTAGTACAGGAGGTTGGACTTCTCCAGCGGCCCACTCGGCTGGGGCCGAATGCATGGAGGGAGGGGAGCTTGGTTGTACTGTCTGTACGTGTCCTTCTGGCGTCATGGCCCTGGCGTGCTCCGCTCTCCTGGTGGTGACAACCATGTAGAGTTGTAAAAAGCGTCTGGCGGTTGTTTGTTAGTAAGAGGAAATGACCCGTCAAATGGATCTTTGGGTAAGAGAATGGGAATAGAAGTTTGCCTTTTCCCACAGACGACGCCAATGTACCGTTTGGTTTTGTGAGCCCACTATGTACCCTTTGAGGGTAATGTTGTTGTATGGATGGTACCTCTAGCTGAGGTAATGACCAGGCTAGAAGGTATTATTCCAAGAACAAGCAAGCAGATATCAATGGTAGACAAATAGTAAGGGTATGACTTAAGAGTAAATGGGCATAAATTCAGTACATAAAGATCTCCTTCCTGTTGTGCCCATGAGGGCTATTTATAAGGAAAATGGTGTGAGTTGGTGAGGTGGGGGTCAGCCCTCCTTGGGATGTGTTCCCCTGATGGCAGTGTTAGGCGCGGTTGGCGCTGCTACAATGGCAGCGCTGCACCCACTGCATCAGGCGATGTCAGCACTGCGCAAAGGGGCAGATTCCTTTGCAGTGCTTATGGCGACTGCCTTTAGCGGTTAATGTCCCAAAGTGAGACATTTTGGTGTATCTTTTGGACGTGTTGCAGCCTTGGAGATCGTGAGGGTCCACGTCAGCCCTAAGGGCTGACGCAGAAGAAGGCTGAGGATTGGGCCTGAGTAACTGGGCCGCTCTAGTGCTTGGGCCATCCGGAACAAAGAGTATCTCATTTTCTCCTTTGGTTTTATGACTATTAATCTGCGTGGCTTGCAAAATTATAAGTCCCTTAGCCAGGTAAGGTTTTATGAATGGGTTTATGTTTCCTATACCATAGGAGATAAATTATCTACAACATATCAAAAATTACCTTATTGGGAAATTAAAAAATGATGTTTTGCTAAAATTTATAAAATAAATAACTTTTTTAGAACATCCTTGATTAATTCTCCTAATTCTCAAAATAATATAAATTTGAAATTGTAGGAAATAACTGCTGGAGAAATATTTTTTCATTTATAAATTGTTCAATTTTTGTATATTATAGTATTTTTGTAACATACTGTTTCATAGATGCAGACTCACTCACTAGCACAGGCTTTGTCAGAATAAATAGACTTACGCACCTTTCTGATGTTACGCAACTTGCGCCTCTTAAATTGTGATACCAACTCGGTTTTTTTTCAAATGAAGTAAACTTCTAAATTTGTTCAAAGAAATTGATGGCAGATAGGTTACTCTTTTAGAATGCAAAAAATTTCCTTGATTCGTAATTAAGAAAGAATCTTAATCTTTTTTCTGGAGCTATATAATCAACATTATTGTCAATGGCCTTTTAACTCGATTCGCGAACGCTTGAGTTTACATGTTTAAAATTGATTATTTGTATTAAGTTTGAACTTGTACAAAAGTTCATTTAATAAAAAGACCTTAGATTTCAATTCAAAAGCTCGGCTTTAGAGCCTCTCAGGCTGACCTAGTATTTTTTTTATATATATTTTATACTACTTATAATAGCTCTCTCTTTCTCTTCAATCTATTTCAACTCATTTTATTGGTTAAACATACTTTTTGAATGATTTTGTTCTATATTATGATGGGGCTACTACATGTGTAAAAGCTTGTAACGGATCATCAAGTTATTTTCCTATCACGGTAGGTGTACACCAAGGGTCGGCTCTAAGTCCTTACCTATTTGCCTTAGTTATGGATGAACTAACAAAAGATATTCAAGAGGAAGTGCCATGGTGTATGCTTTTTGCAGACGATATTGCGCTTATTGATGAGAGCAAGGAGGGTGTTAATAGAAAACTTGAATTGTGGAGAAGCACATTGGAATCCAGAGGATTCACATTAAGTCGAAGCAAGACTGAGTATCTGAAGTGTGAGTTTTCTCTCGTACGAGATGAGGACCAAGAACCTGTGCATCTAAATGGTCAAGAGGTACCCAAAAAAGATGCTTTTAAATACTTGGGCTCCATTTTACAAAACGGTGGAGAGATTGATGAGGATGTAAATCATAGAATCAGAGCAGGGTGGATGAAATGGCGCAGTGCATCTGCATTTTTGTGTGACCGCAAAATCCCCCTGAAGTTAAAAGGAAAATTCTATAAAACGGCAGTAAGACCGGCAATGCTATATGGAGCAGAATGCTGGCCAGCACATAGGCAACATGAGCATAAGATGGGAGTAGAAGAGATGAGGATGTTAAGGTGGATGTGTGGTTACACAAGGATGGATAAGATAAGAAATGAAGATATTCGACGAAAGGTCGGAGTAGTACCGGTAGCCGAGAAGATGAGAGAACATAGATTGAGGTGGTTTGGGCACGTGATGAGAAGACCCATGGATGCTCCTGTAAGAACAGAAGTTTGTTACCAAGAGCTCAACACAAAAAGAGGCAGAGGTAGGCCGAAGCTTACTTGGGGAAAAGTAGTAAAACAAGATTTAATGGAGTGGGATATAGATTGGCGGACAGTATGTCTTAGAACGGAATGGAGAAAAGCTATAAGTATGGTGGAGGGTTAGACCCGTTGTTATTCCTATGTTCCAGATGGTCCCTTTTTAGTCCTTTTTTCCTTCATTTCCCCCACTTCTTCTTGTCCCTTTTTTTTTTACTTTTATTTATTTATATATACCTATATTGTTATTTTATTTTATCTTATTTTATATTTTTATTTTATTTGTTTATTTTTATTTATTTATTTTTGGCTTTTTTACTTTTTTACTTTTTTTTATTTTTTTTATTTTTTTTAACTTTTTTTCAACCGTTTTGTATCTTTCATGTGGGTTCATCTACCACCGACCCCAATTAATTTGGGATAAAGGTGTTGTTGATGTTGATGTTGTTGAAATAAGTCAGGCCACAAGCCGATAAGTATATTTATAACAAGTAAAAAGTTTGGTCAGTCTGACACATTTAAACACATATTTAACCTTTAAGACTAAAGCTTGACTCGGCTTGGCCCGTTAACACCTTTAATTGCCACCTTTATCCCAAATAAAAACTAATATGTTTACCCAAAAAAACATAAAAATAATATAATACTGATTACTAATAAATCAGGTGAGTTTTAACGGAACTAATGTATCTGCTGACATATTTTTTAGGAATTAATTTGGGTGGGGTGGGTATACTTATTTTTTTTTTTTTAATTTGTTTTGGAAATTATCAACACATAATTGTTAAGTGCTCCCTTCTTTATGGTTATTTGCTTTGGAAGATTTTTATGCTCTTAATTAAATTTTTACATGTGCCTCTTTAAAGCTTCATTTTTGTAGTTAGCATTCTCATCACAAACGCACAAGATTTATACACATGCGGAATGGACAAACCCGCTTTATATAGTTGTACCATATTAAATATGACGTCCCATGATTTTATCTTTTTACCACCCCCTCAATTTGTTTTATGCAAAACAATATTCTACCTTAAAGTAAATTACATTTACATTAAATAAATTGTGGTCATTTTACTGCTTCGTGGTGTAGTCCATGCCGTTTCATTGCCCCAATTCTGGCAGAGCTTGCTAAAAAGACACCCGAAGTTCTCTTCCTCAAGGTGGATGTGGAAGAACTGAAGGTAAAGCATATCTGAATCTACGGTATCATATTATTTTATTTATATCTAATCTTAAAACCTATGCAGATTATTTATTTGCAATTTACTAATACTTGATGTTGTTAGACTGTTGCTGAGGAATGGGCCATTGAGGCTATGCCAATGTTATAATTTTTTATGTGTCACGTCCAGGTTTTGGGTTGAAACATGATGTGAAACTCACTTGATATTCCACTTTGCCCCATTGGTAATGGTCTCCGTTATGGGCTTCTCATGAACCCTCCTGACATGCCAACCTTTCTGTTCTTGAAAGAAGGCAAGCTAGTGGACAAGGTTGTGGGTGCTAAGAAGGAAGAGTTGCAACTGACAATAGCAAAGCATGCAACTAATGCTAGTGCTGCTGCTTCCTGAAGTATCATATGAAATTCTAGAATAATATGTTATCATTTACTAGTCAGTTTGCATGTTTTCAGTATTGGTATGGAGTTTGCGGAACATCGGTTTACATGAAAATAAATTGTTGCATTGTTGAACTTCAAATGGATATTAGCAATAAAATATAAGATTAAATGGAGATTAGCAACCAAATGGATAGCATTATCATATGAATTTTGTAATTTTCTCTCTTACAGGTTGATATATTGATACTCAAGTCCAAATAAAATAAAAAACTATAATTACCTTGGCCACACCTTTTATATCAATCATAACTTATTCTCTCAATATTATCAACCAATGCCAATGGAAGCCAGCAAACTTCCCAAGTGGACATACAATTTCTTATTCTTCATAACTATACGCTACACTGCATGCTGCCATGACAATCACCATTTGGTTACTTATATTCATGTTCTTTCAGTTCTTTGAAATGGGTTCACTAGCTGTTGGAGTATGTACTGTCCTCTTTAGCAGAGATATTTTCCAAGGATTCCCACCTAATTCCTCAAAAACTACTATCAAGTTCTTTGTTGGTTTTAACCAGGACCTTGGAACATGATACCTACAAAATTCCAAACAGAAAATGGGTTAGTTTACTCTTCCGTGGTCCAACATTCATGACAAGGGCTTACAATTGAAGAAATTTTGGTGACCCTTAAAACATTCAACAGTGTGCATTTTTGTTGTAAATGGTTGTCTCATTATCAGTACTCATATATAAATATAGAGTAATGATAACCACATAATCAAAATCAAATATACAAAATAGCACACCCCTCCTTACACTACTGTATTACTCTACACAAGATATTGTCTGACACACTGCACAAAATACAATGGCTCTGCGCAGAGGGTTGTGTAATTTTGTGACACAAACAGACTAGTGAGTAACATTTTTCTGAGGATAAGGAAGTAATGTTGAAGCTAAAACTTTAACAGAAAAGTAGTACCATCGTTGGGTAGGTTGTCCACAACCAATTTGGCACTTTAAAGGCCGGAATGTCCCAGCATAGCTGCAAGAATTACAGTTACCCTTTGCATAAGCCATCCAATATCTTCCTATGCTCTGTCCATTGATCCATACTTGACCTTTTCCCATATTGCCCAGGTCCAAAGCCAATGGTTCATTTCCATCCGGTGCATTGAAATAAGCCTAAAAATTCCAAGTTGATGGTAAGCTTCTCCTTATAGACTTCAGTAGATGTTGTTATATTATAAACCATTTAACTGTTCTTACCTTGTGCCATTTCAATTGTGGCTGGCTTTTGGTAGCTAGAGATTCTTTGACCCAGTCAACAGATGAGACCCCATTGGGAGACACCAAATCCATAGCCTCTCCTTTTAAACCAACCTATTAGTGGAGATAAAATAATTAGAAAATGTCTTATATTTGATAAATCCTATGTATAAAGAAGCTATAGTTGTGTGTATCATACCTTGTATGACCATTTCTGCCAAGACAAATCTTTCTGTCCGTGGTCAAGACCATGGAGCAAAACTGGACCTGTGATTCCTGTCTTCCATGTTTCAAAATGGATTCCACCATTCTAGGAAAAAAAGAAAGGAAAGAGCAAAAGCAATCAATAACTAGCAACGAAAAAGGGATGATCAAGTTCATGTTGGAGTTACAAGCAAGGAACTAACCGGTAATCCAACAGCTACGCTGAGAAGTGCTATTTTGTTAGTTCCAGCGCGTAGGTTGACAGGGCCATTAAATGTGCAACTTCTTTGTTCCCTTGTCCCAAAAGCAGAGCCTGTAAAGGTAAATAGGAACCATCTCATTTTGGTTAAACTTGTTTTGATTAGATCAGTGTGCAAACATAAGAACTACCATGTTTAACTACATACCTGAAAATTGACCGTTAATAAACACATGGACAGCATCTCCTTCAGAATGCACACTAATGCTAGGCTTGTTTCCTCCTCGAAGAAACGATTCTGATGAACTTATGTCAAAACTGTGGAATGCAAACAAGAAAAAATAAGATTTTAACTGCTGAAAACTGAGATGTAAGATAATGTTTTATCAAGTAACTTACCTGGTTATGTACCATAGATAGTCACTAGTGTCTCTGGTAGTGTTCAACTGTTCTAAAAGTCCAGAAGCAGTTATGGTGGAACTTTCCTCAAGAGAAGATATGTCTTCATCATAGGTCTCCCATGAGAACAACTTGGAATGGCTAGGCAACATTTGTATATGTGAAGGTTGAACCCTCACCTTCATGAAGGCATTACAATTCAAATTAATAACTTGATGCAAAAGGCAACAATGATGGGACAACAAGAGCTTCCATCACACTTAATCAAGATAGCATAAAAGGCCCATTTAAGTATTCTTACTCTTGCAGTGTTGAATACATCTGTTGTACAATCAGGGAGGATGCTTATGGACCAAGGAGGCAAGTCATAGTGTCTGTTATTGAAGATCACTCTAGCACCAGAATTTGAATGATAGTTTGCTAGAAAAGCTGCACATGTTCTGCTTCCTGAAGAGAATACATGAGCCTGAAAGATAACAAAACATGGATCATTGTTGCCACTATGAAGGTAGTTTACCTTAAAGAAGTACAAAACTAGAAAGATGTAGTGCTTTGTATCAGAGGTAACTGACCTGCTGATACGTTCCTATTGATGTAACTTTAGGATCTGAAGAAACCAAAGCATGTTCACATAACTTGATAGCTTTATGAAGGTCCTTCAAATGATCATATTTAGGTTGCCTGATCAAACCTGAACACAGTAAAGGACAGAATTACAAGTTGCTAATATGGGTGAGGATGGAACAAAATATAAGACAAAACTATAAGTCTTTAAACAGGTGAAACAAGACTAGGTGCCAATTCTGATATATACCTGGAAGATAAGGAAATAGTACAACAATCAATTTGACTCAAAGGCCATATGCATCTATAGTTTCTTGAATTATTATGGGGCACTATATCATAGGTTTGGTTGTCATCAAAAAATAAAAAAAGAATTTATAGCTCAGTAAATTATAGCTACAATGCTCTGGTTAGATGCCTAATGAACTCAAGGTGCAAATAAAATAATCAAAGAATCTTTTCAGAATGTTTTGAAAGCATAATTATCTGACCGTATTCATCAATTGGAGCATCATAGTCATAACTTGTAGTAATGAATGGGCCACCAGCTGATCGTCCAAAATTAGTTCCTCCATGGTACTATCAATTGTCATTAATCACATGAGTAACATTCATATTTTTAAATTAAGGCAACGCATGTTTTGTTTATTTGAGAAATAAATCATTGAAGGTGACCACCAACCATGTAATAATTCATATATGAGCCACCCTTCTGTATGAAACGAGCAACTGCAAATGCTAGATCCTCAACTGGTCGCTGGTAAATTGGGCCACCAAATTCTGTAAACCTAATGATCAAAGGGAATAGGAAAAAGTGAGAAGAAGAATAAAAGGGTAAATAATTCAGATAACAGGATTTAAAGTCTTCTAAACCAAATCCAAAAACAATACTAGACATAGCTTACCAGCCACTCCAATTCTCAGTCCAAAGGCTAGGCTTGTATGGTTTATTTGGAGAGAAATCATCACAGTAAAAACCATTACATGTATTTATCTGTTGGAAATAATTGGATGCATCATATTCAACCCATAATAAACATCAATGATGATGATGAACTTAAAGAAACAGCTAAACACTAATTGAAGTCGAACCCCAGTAATCGGTTAACAACTCAAGCAAATGAGTAAGCCAGCCAAGATCTTGAGATGGCTCACCACAGGATCTGGAGCATCATCTTCCTTGCACATCACCCATGGTACTCCAGTACCCAATCCAACAGCCATTTTTGCAGCCCAGTTCATGTATGCATGACCAGCAGCTCCCAGTGCCTTTCTTTCTGGTCCATACTCATTCTCAATCTAGAAATTACAACACAAGTTGAGACCAAGTTAAGATTTTATCTTGAAAATGGTGATTTTTTAGTATGAATTTTTGTGAGTCCTAGATCTATTTTTGATCTGGAAACATTAAGAATTCAGTCAGGAGCTTGTTCCCATGCAACATCCTTATGGAAGACAATTTTTTAATATAAACTTCAGTTATGCCAAAAAGTGAAAGGAACTACCCACCTGAGAAAGAATGATTGGACCACCCTGAGATTGAAATAGCTTTTCACTCTTCATCATCTGAACAATTTTCTGAGTAAAACCTTGCATTGCCACCTAAAAAAAAGGTAACGTGAATTTCATTATTTACTGTTCAAGGTTTAGTTAGCAGAGAGACTCATAAGACAGAATATAGAAATGAAATTAGTTAAACCTTGAAAGGGCCATTATCTGTTCTGAAGCTGATGCCAGGAACATACTTCAACCAAACAGGAAATCCTCTATACCATTAAAGAATGTGATTGAGAATCACAATAAGCATTCATATTAAGAAATCAAAACAATAAATTTTATGTATATAACAAAGACTATATTTTAGAAGAAAAAAAAAAAAAACTCCACAAAGGAAAGGTGAAGCTGCATGTACCCAAAGTTCCACTCAGCGCATACATAAGGTCCAATGCGAAGATGGACATAAAGCCCCACTTTCTGCACTGTCTTAATGAACCGTACGAGATCGTATCTTCCTTCAAAATTGTACTGCAACCCAACATCATAAAAATAACAACAACAACAAATGTGAGGTGGGGACTTGAGAAATTGATCTGCAAAAGGATAAAATTGAAACAAACGAAGATCCAGAATAGTACATTGCGAGGAGATGGTTCATGAACATTCCAGAAAACATAAGTGTCGATAACATCTAGGCCTCCATGTTTGGCTTTCTGAATTAGATCCTCCCACATCTACAGCAACACACATTTCAAACACAAAACTCACATGAGAAAAGCAAAAAGTGAAGGAAAAAAAGAGACACATACTTCAGGGGTGCTTCTGGGGTAGTGAATGGAGCCAGAGATGAGGATTCTCCTTTGGCCATTGATGACAATGGCTTTTCTATCATACGTGACACTGCAATGAATCAGCTCACAACCCACAAACAAGGCCATGAAGAGAAGTATTAGAAGCTTGGAAACCGAGTTAGTTTCCATAGCTTCTTCACGCAAGAACTGAATGAACGGAGAGTTTTGAAAAAGGTAAGAAAGAAAGTGAGGTATGGGGTTCTCTTATGTGTAACTCAGAATCTGATCTAAAACTCTGCACCTACGACCATTGTGCTTGTCTGTGATTCTTCTACTAGTAGGAGTATTAGTACCAAATACTGAAAATTCTACACTAATGTATTTTACTAATTTTGTTTTGTTTTGATTTTTGGACTGTTTCTCAGTCTCTTGAGACTTGAGAGAGTGAGAAGAACTACAAAAGGAAATTGCTTTTTTTCAATCGATGATAATTTATTGCTTCAAGACTTCAACTTTACAACTGCAACATTTATAGCAACAAAGCTAAAGTAAAAAACAAGAACTGGGAAGTGTTGCAATGAAGAACATCATCATTCTGTCGAGCTCCATTCACAATTACTGTTTGCTTTCACTTAAAAAGTGTTAAACAGTGGCAAATTTGAAATTTGAAGTCTCAATTTTTTTTTCTTTAAAATAAAAATAATCTGAATATTCCCTGACCTAAGAAGTAAACCCATTGGGTTTAAAATTTATCATCTATGAAACAAAAGTAGGCACAGTTACGTTAAGGATTTGACACGTATCTTATGAATGTGGGACCTTATTGGTAGACAATAGGTGAGCCTTTAGTATAAGAGATATTTTTTTTCACCGAGAAAAAAATATTTCCAAGAATATAGTGAGAAACATTTTTCTTCGGGTAAGTTATGAAAAAGTGTTTGGTAGGTCAAAATTTTATCGGAAAAATTGAGTTAATTTTACTAACGTTATATTTGGTTGATGGTAAAATATTGATAAGAATTTAAACTAAAATGACCAAAGTACCCATCATTTTGAATATTGTTAACGGCATTTTAGTCTTATAAGTGTTAAACTGTTTTTGTCTCTTAATAAGAAAAAAAGAATACCATATGTGAGAGAGGAAAGTTTTTTAGCAATATATAGTAGAAAAGGGGATTCATGGAGAAAAAATATCCCTAGATTATTTTACTTTTTCTTATAGGTAATTTTATTTCCCTCACCCCACTTTCTCATCATTTCATTCAAAAACCCCATACCAAACAGCCCCTAGGTATCTCTCTCGTAAATTCTCGAGGTCTAGCTTGTACTTATTGGGATATTAGCATTTAATTTCACCTAAAAAAATTTTATGTATAAAAAATATATATCATTTATTCATATAGGACTTATATGAAGTCAAACGATGAGAAAAGAGAGAAAGAGAAAAGTCTAATCCCATATATTTTTATATATTTGGGGTTCATATGAAATTATGTGAAGAAAACATAAAAAAAAAAAATCCAACCTCTTATATTTTTAGGTTTAATATTTGTGCTTTTAAAAACTTTTTCTATGTCACATTTATAAAAGTGAATGGATTTCGTTAACTTTTTCTCATTCTTTTCTTTAAATGCGATGTACTTATTTTTATATGAGTATAATAAAAAAAAGTATATATTAAAAAATATAAATATTTTTTCGTATATTTTTATGTGTAATAAATAATTTTATTTCATATAACGCAATAAAATTTAAACCTTTTAATTATTGTCTCTTCTTTGAATATGGTTTATCTTCCTGAGAAAAAAATATGCCCCTAGAACGTTACCAAATATCAGCAATTTTTGTTATTAAAAAAACTTTTATATATATATATATATATATATATATATATATATATATATATATATTTGAAAGAAGGCTAGTACTCCATTATGCGCCATACTAGTTCGTTTGCATGTGCTGTAGACCCATTACCTCACTTGCGTTGTGGATGACAATAGCAATATCCTTCAGTTTATTATTCCCGCGACGACAAATTTTTATCTTGTATGCGCGTCTTTTCTGAATTATGTTCGTGATACCCTTGTCTTGTGGGGTTTAAGGGGTTGCTTCCATGTGACATGATATTTCATATTTGTGGTCTCATAATTTTGCCTTTTTTCTATTCCTTTTTCTCAAATTAAAAAAAAAAAAAAAAGAGGTCAAGGGAAGCGCATATTAGCTTTTATATTGATAATAATGATGTAATGTTATATATAGCTAGTGTGTCAAATTAATGTACTATATAAAGGTGATGAGCTGATCTGTACATTAGACGCATTCTTTGCCTTTTTCTCAATAAACAAAAAAAAAAGAGTGTAAATGGGTACGCATATAAGCTTTTATGAATAATAATGAAGTATTTTGTAGTTAATGGGCCAAATTAATGTACTATGTATATAGGTAAATGTAAATGGTAAATGGTAAATGTGTACGCATATTAGCTTTTATTAATAATGATGGAGTAATGTTCTAGAAAATGTGTCAAATTAATGTACTATGTAAAAGGTATTATTTGTGTCAAGATATTTATATTATTAAAATTAAGTTTTAAAAGACTAAAAAAAGGGAAAACTCTTTCATAAGAATAAAGGGTGGTAGAAACCAATAATTCATCAACCCAAGGAAGACTTAATACAAAACCGTATGGTTAAAATATATTGTTCATCTTTATATAGGATATTTAATTTTTATATGTACAATTATTTTTATTGCCGTTCCCGTCATTTATTATTGTTGTAATATTGTGAGATTACATGGAGTTACAGATCAACTTGAAATTAATTATTACGCGTAGGAACAAAAAATATAATATTCCTAATTATTATATATCACGCTATTTTTAATTTGATTCTTATATTTTAATTTGTTATAATTTCGAGAGTTATAACAATCATAGGCAACAAAGAATGAATTGAAAATAATTATATGTATAGAAATTAAATTGAATTTCTTTTTATAAGAATTAAAGTAAAACAAGTGTTGCTTATAAGTGCATATATTTCAACCACATAAATAATATCTCATTTAATTATAGGTATAAAATTGTAAAAGTTATAAAATACATGTGAAATGCCTAATGTATGAGTGCATTTCATTCATATACTTTTTCAACAGCGTGTGATACATTTCCAATTGGCCTTTTCCTTTTAGTAGTTCTGTCTTTGCTTTTTCTTCCCATGACAATACGGTAGCAGTGGTTATTATTGGTGTATTATGATTGCATACAAATATAGAGAGCAATTGTGCAAATAGCATCATTCTACATTTGTTCTTTTTTTCAGTTTTAGGAGTCTCAGCCAAAGAAGAAACAAACATTTTTCTTGGTAGTAAGAAGAAACAAAAATTGATGCGGTTTGGTGTACCCTCATAAAATGTTGACTTTCATTTTCATGTAGGTGGGGTTACTTTAATTTCTTTTGTAGCTGGCATCACGTTTTTGTCTAACTAAGCCTTTTGGCGTTTCTAATTATAAAAAGAAGTAATAACACTGGCAACTATTATTGACTGCTATTAAAGGCATTCTTCGTCCAATTCATTAATTATTCGCAAATCAAAAGTACTATCAACTACTAAAGCTGGGTTAGTCATAACATTCTAACCCCAAAATTAATTTCTGGTTCTATGTCTCTTTCAAGTCCTAAAAACAGTTAAAGAAATATCCAATATTGATTTGTAATTTGTATGTTATTATTTTGAAAACCTTATCAAAATATATATAAAACTGGTGAGTAGGTTTGTTTCTATGCAATGTTCCACTTCCGATAGTATTAAACTATTAATGCAACTGCTAGATGGCTCCATTTATGTCGGTGCGAGCCATTTAATTGCCTAGGATGAGGTGAGATGAGAACCATAATGTAAGTGTATTAATAAATAAATAAATAAATGGTATTTAGCTATCGTTTTCCCAGATGAAAAAAGACATCCTTCCCGTGTATCCAGCTATAACTACGAACAACAATTTTGTAATTCCAATAATACCAGAAGACTAAATTAAAGAAAAAGATGTTAATGATGGATGGATTATAATAAGACCCCCTAAACTAAAATATGATTTTATTTTCATAATCATGCAAAACTGTACACTTACAGATCCAAAAAATTAGATTTTAAATTTGAGTCTCTCTATCCTTTTCAAGAGTTATGATTCGAATCGAACTCACTATCCCGTTAGTTGCATCGCCATAAAACCTGATATTAGTGTAAAGAACCTTGGGATACACATCCCAAAAGCTAGCTCAAATGGTAAGAGTGCCCAAGGCCTTATAAAGGCCACATTAGTTGCCCACACAATCAATGTGGGACTATATATCTCAACACGCCCCCTTACGCAAGAGCCCTTTAGGCTAGAAGTGTGAAAATTGCACAGGCCTAATTTTTGGTTTATCTTTTTGTGCTTTTTATTTTAATTCCACTTTTAAGTGGGGGACGGTGAGGCTTTGATGCCATGTAAAGAACCTTGGGATACACCACCCCAAAAGCTAGTTCAAAGGATGGGAGTGTCCAAGACCTTATAAAGGTCAGATTAGTTGCCCACACAATCAATGTGGGACTATATATCTCAACACGCCCCCTCACGCAAGAGCCCTTTGGGCTAGAAGCGTGGAATTGCACATGCTCAATTTTTGGTTTACCTTTTTGTGTTTTTTTATTTTAATTCCACTTGAAAGTGGGAAGCCGTGAGGATCAAACTTGTGATCTTATAGTCACTCAAGCTCTGATACCATGTAAAGAACCTTAGGATACACCACCCCAAAAGCTAGCTCAAAGGGTAGGAGTGCCCAAGGCCTTATAAAGACCACATTAGTTGCCTACACAATCAATGTGGGAATATATATCTCAACACTTGGATAATTAATTAAAAATTTAGTAAAACCAATTAAATGATTGTGTATGCAAAATATTTATAAGTAGCATTGGAATAAAACAATTAAGTTATAAAATATAAATAAATTAGAAATAAATCATTATGTTGTGTGTGTTTTGTTTTTCAAAGTAATCTTAACATTGTAGCGCATAACAAGCCGTAATGCTTTAATTCAATTCATATGCATGTAGTCATAACTATCTTTCCCAATTGAGGATAGCCTAGCTAATCTTCCATGAAATGAAACATAATTCAATTAAATAGCTAGAACTAGCAC